GGCGAAAATACATACAAATTGGGGGAGGAGGTGGAAAAAAATGCTAAGGGGCAAACGATACTCAAAGGCAATGGGGGCCGGAAAACATCTCCCCCTGGGGCCAAAAAGGGGGGAGCAAATATGTTTTGGGGTGCAAATTACCACAATTTTTCAAAACTCCCTGGAAACTGGGGCAATCCTGAGGGTTTTGGGAAAACGGCAAAAGTAGTTCCCATTTTTAAAAAAGGGGAAAAGAAAAAAGGCACTAAAATTAAACCGTGTCATTGCCCTGTTTATAAGCAAAATTATGGAGGAAAAATTATCAAAGGGGGGAGTGGTGGAGCACCCGGAACAGAAACCAAAGGAGTATTTAAAGCCCCAAACCCGCACGGGTTCAGGAAGGGCAAATCCTTTTGTCACAAAACCCCTTTTGGGGTTTTTTGGGTAAAATTTAACCCGAAAAGTAAGGAAAAAGAGAGGGGGGGGTGGGTTGATTGCCCTCTTTTTGGAAATGCAAGAAGGGCCCTTTTACCAAGTTTCTCAAGAGATTATGAGAACTTGAGCTTTAGGCCGGGATATTAAAAGGAAGGGGGACTGCAATGGGTCAGGAAAACCTGACAGGGAGGCACAAAGAGTCATGGGACGTAAAGAAGTATCACAGTGGGGAAACCCGTGACGAGGGGTCCCCCAGGGGGCTTTTCCTTGGGGCCAGTGCCCAATTTTTTGGGATAAGGAACGACATGACGGAAGGGTTTAAAATCAGAAGTGTCCTGTTTTCAGATGGGTGAAATTAAAAGGGAAATTAAATCCCGGGTGGGACCCGGCAGGACTTCAAAGGACCGGGCAGACTGGGGCACCTGGGCCCGCAAATTGGGTTTTCGAAAATTTTAAACCCGCCCCAAAACAAAGCTTTAAGAAAGGGGGAAAGGGCCCCAGAAGCCAAACAGAGTTAGGTAGGGGGGCCAAAGACTGCAAAACCCCACTCAAGGAGAAAAAATCTTTGGGTGAGTTTAACACCGGGGGCATTTTCCCCCGGAAGACACATCAACAGATAACTGTGCAGCATTGGGGGCCCGGCAAACCCGAAACAGCATTCCGATAACCCTTTTTAAAGGGAAACATTTTAAGACACTGTACACCGTGTATGTCAGGCCCCATCGGATTTTGCAGCACCTGTTGGAACCCGCACTTTATAAAGCAAACCCGGGAAAATAGAGAAAATAAAGGTTTTTCGACAAGGGTTTGTTTCCGGGGTAAGGGGAATGTCCTATGAAGAAAAAATTTTAAGGGGAAAACGGGCCCGACGACACTGGAGGCCCGGAGGGTCAGGGGAGACCCTGATTTAACGAAAATATAAAATACTGCGTGGAATAGACAAGGTGCAAAGAAAAATGTTTCCCGGGAGGGGAACAGAAAAAAAGAGGCCCAATTTGGGAAATTGAAAACAAAAATGAGTCAGAGAGATAATAGGAAGTATTTCTTCGTCATAGAGTTTTTTTTAAGGCCCTGGAAAGCCTTTGAAAAAAAACGTAGTGGGGGGCAGGAAACCATAAAACATTTTAAGAGAGGTTTTATAAAGCTCATGGGGTGGGGGAGAGAGGGCTGTGCAACCGGGGGAAAAGGGGGGGGCCAGGAGCTAGGACTCGGGCCCCTGCAAACCCCAAATAGGTGGGTACAAATAGGGAAGTCACACACACACACACAACACACACACAAAAAACCCCCACCACACCCCACAAAACCCCCACACAACCCCCCCCCCCCAACACAAAACACATTAAGGTTAACCCGAGCAAATTTATTTAAAAGACTAACACGGACACAAACGGGCACACACACAAAACATATGCTTGAATTTTAACAGGCCCAGGGTTATCGACATGTGGCCCCAGTACAGTAAAAAAAATGGTAAAATTTAAAACACACTTTCCCCCCACACCCCCAAAACAGGTGGGGGGGGGAAGCAAAAATTTTAAAAATTTTAGGGTCAGTGTAATTTGAAGGGCTGACCAGAAATTCATACCTAATAGTTGTGTTCTGAGCCCCCTCTGCAAAAAAAAGTGGTTAGGGGGAGAGGTGAAAGTTTTGAAAGATGAAAGTATTTTTCTTTTTGGGGATTCCTTTCTTTTTGGATCACCCTGCCTCGGTGGAGATGGCTGACTTGTTAAAAAAAAAAAAAAAAAGGGAAAAGGGGGGGGTTAAAGAGGTTTTTGAGATTCAGGGGCTTGAGCACCAAATAGGTTTGTGTGGAGAGAAGTGGTTTTTAAATGAATGTGCTGTAGGAGTGTAAGCCAGGTAACTTTGAAGTAGGATTCTGGGAAACCAAATTTGCCACTGAAGTCCTGGAGGAAGTAAGGGCAATGCCTGAAATCTGAAAATGGAGGGGGGATTTGCAGTTAGAAGATAATTTGATTGTATGGCAGCACACTTCGGGAAAGATACTGATAGAAAAATGATGGTGAATGTGTTTCTTTTTTGGGGTCACCCTGCCTTGGGGGGAGAAAGCCATTGAGTTAAAAAAAAAAATTGGGAAGAGACATGTGGAATCACCACATTTGTTTTGTCTCTGGAAGGATCTCAAAGAAAAGATTTCCCTTACATATGAATAATTTAGAAAATAGGATTTTCCCATCATATCCATGGGAAATCAACACTTACCTTTAACCCTTTCAGGGTCCGTCCTGTAGATCTACGGCTTTTCGGTGAGTGTCCAAAACGTAGATCTACGCCAAAATTCTAGCGCCGTCAAATTTAGCGCGAAAGCGCTCATAGGCCTACATGTGAGAGAATGGGCCTGCGCCGTGGGTGTGCGCCGTAAACAAAAAATCTAGGCGCCTGCATAGCATTGTGGGAACGCCGGCTCATTCACCCTTGTTCACCATGCCTCGTCGCAAGTCAGCTCTCACTCCCCGGAAAATTGGGACCTCCTTTTTCCTGTCTGATAGTTCTGACACTGAGGAAGGGGAAATGAAGACGAATTCTACGGTTTTGATAAGTTAGTGACCGAAAATAATGACCAGGATATCGATAATAGTGCAGAAAACCCGACGATCCTCGACCTTCTACCTCTGGTGTGGGCACTCGTGACTCACGGTCCCGGGGGTTCCTAAACGTAAGAGAAAACTAATATTTTCCCGTGGCCAGGCCCCTGACTTCAGTAATGACGTGATTCTGACGTGGATTGTGATTTTATTACGCTCGACGATCATTCCCAGTAGTGATAGTGAGGAAACATAAATTCACCAGTGAAGCATCGGTAATGTTCGCCGCCGCATGCGCTCGGGTATGTACCCTATGCTGTGCCCAGGGACAGAGTACATCCCGGAGTACATCTCGGATACATCCCTGGCCCTACACCCGTTTAGGTATGATAGTGAGGATGATGTGGCTACACTGGCATGGATGGGCCACAGGCATCAGTGGATGGTGTTTAGTGGTGCTGGTGGTGGTAGTGGCACGCCATGCGTGACTCACTGTGCCACGCGGGGAAACCCCCGCTGCTGACTCGTCAGTTCAAGGACAAAGCGGAGCGTCAACCACCAGCCCGCCACAACCACAACCACCCGTACCCAAACCCGCCCATGATGTCCAGTATCCACCAGCAAACTGTATCTGGGATTGGCAGCAAAATCCCAATTTTGTTCCCCGCCCTCACCACTTTGATGACTCTCAAAGTGGAATTCTACCTACCTTCCCTTGGAACCATGGCCAATGAACTGGAATTTTTGAATTATTCTTTGACCAGCCATTGATGGAAATTATTGCCAGGGAAAGTAATAAGTATTTTGAGTACACCATGGCAAATACGATCTTATCACCACAGTCAAGACTACACAGGTGGAAAAGAAAGACTGTTGCAGAAATGTATTTGCTTTTTTCAACAATAATGCTTATGCCTCACGTCTATAAGCATAATATAAAAGCATACTGGGCCACAGATCGGCTAATTTGTACCCCATCCTTCAGTGAAATAATACCATGAACAGGTTTATCTTACTGTTACGTAGTTTGCACTTCTCGACAAAACCAGGCCTGACAGAAGTGACAAAGGGTTTTACAAGATTAGAAATGTTTTCATGTATCTCAAACAAAAGTTCAGGATATACTTTTATCCATTCAAGAATCGTAATTGACGAGTCCCTTTTTATTTTGTTCA